AAGGGAAGTTACATTTACAAAACAGACATAAACTTTATTTTAAAAAAAAGTGTCACTGAGTAATTATATTTCTTTTTTAAGTATTTGTAACATTTGTTAAGTGTCTTGAAATCATAAAACTATTCTCACAGTTCTACAGTTGGGTAAACGGCCAGTAAACATAAATTAGGACTAGGAATTTACACAAAGAGCAATTAATAACACATGCAGATGTATGGAATGGACAAAATACTAGAAACACCCCATGAAAAAGATGTATGAATTAAACCTGTTACAACAATGGATGATTAAATCTCGGTATATGATCAAAAAATGCACAAGCAGAGGTTACTTTCACTGAAAACTGCACACCAAAAGGAGCAGTAGATCCAGATACGGTATATAGATAGATTAATCTCTCTTTAAATCTTGATTTTTCTTGTAAAGAACAAGACTTTATCCAACTTCTCTTGTTTTCCTACTGGTACTTTTATGTGATGGGTAGCTTCACTTACCAAAAAGGAAGCTTAGGTGGTAAAAGGGAGCAGGGTCAAGTTCAACTTTTGCAGAAAAATTGTACACTATATTGCCAAAAGTATTGGGACACCCCTCCAAATCATTGGATTCAGGTGTTCCAATCTCCTCCATGGCCACAGGTGTATAAAATCAAACACCTAGGCATGCAGACTGCTTCTACAAACATTTGTGAAAGAATGGGTCGCCCTCAGGAGCTCAGTGAATTCAAGCGTGGGACCGTAATAGGTTGCCACCTGTGCAATAAGTCCATCCGTAAAATTTCCTTGCTACTAAATATTCCACGGTCAACCACTAGTAGTATTATAGCAAAGTGGAAGCAACTGGGAACAACAACAACTCAGCCATAAAGTGACAGGCCATGCAACATGACAGAGCGGGGTCAGCGCATACTGAAACACACAGTGCACAGAAGTCACCAACTATCTGCAGAGTCAATAGCTAAAGACCTCCAAACTTCGTTTCACACAACAACAGTTCATAGAAAGCTTAATGGACTGGGTTTCCATGGCCCAGCAGCTGCATCCAAGCCTTACATCACCAAGTGCAATGCAAATAGTCAGATGCAGTGGTGTAAAGCATGTCGCCCTGAACTCTAGAGCAGTGGATACGTGTTCACTGGAGTGACAAATCACACTTCTCTGTCTGGCAATCCGATGGACGTGTCTGGGTTTGGCGGTTGCCAGGAGAACGGTACTTGCCTGACTGTATTGTGCCAATTTAAAGTTAAGTGGAGGTTGCCATTCAGTCTTCAATGGGAGCCCAGGGGTTCCAGTATTGAGGGCCCATTCTGGGATCGTTATTTGAGGGAGCTCAAAAGTCCAGAGAAAGTTAGCAAGATATCCTATGGTGCGGAAGACCGCAGATTTACCAGCAGCCACCACCTTGCAGACAGGTTGAATCCCTTTAACAGGAATACCCTGATATTCTAAAGCTCAGACTATTTATGTGCCCCTCAGTTACCTTCTGGACCCACTTACCCAAGGATTGGCTGCAGCACCATAAATATTCATGCTGCCCATTTTCCTTTCTCCATTCCCTATGTTCTAGAACTCTCTAGAAGTCAGGGAAGACCAATCAAATTTCCAGCCTGTGAAATCCAGAACAATTTTTCAGTTATAGATTTTGTTAACGTCTACTTTGACTTACAAACACGGGTGTACAGGTAAGTCATATTAGTTTGACATTGTAGACTTGTAGCTCAAATGTAGACTTGTAGCTTAAACACTAAGCCAATCCTTGAAGTACAGCAGTTAATGGAGTAGTAATAGAATGTATCGATTGGATGATCAAATATAATATTCCGGTTATACTTTGTTAATACTGTGTATATATATATATATATATATATATATACAGTATATATATATATATATATATTGTGAGGCACAGCAGGATTGTGGACAGTGTTTATGTGTCACCTAGGTTTCTTGCCTACACATAGTGAGGGGCTCCAGGGTTTATGACTGATTCCTGATTTTCTAGTTTTTGTCATTAGGTTTGGTGGGCCAGCCAACCTCAAGATTGGACAGAAGCTAATGCAGTATATGTCCTCTGACAGATGGTCAGAGCAAACAGAAGCAACAGAGCAAACAGTAGCAGAATTATGCTGGGTATACATGGACTGAAAATCAGCCATTCAGCAGGTACCAGATGAATTTTGCTCTTGGTGTACCCCTGTCTGTTCAACAGAAGCTGATCTAAAGACAAGCTTCTGTTGAAGAGTCCTGCTGAAAAACCAGCACTCAATCAGCTCATGCAGCCAATGGCTGCAGTGCTGATCAGTGTATTCTTTTGGGGGGAATACAGTAGCGCAGTGGAGGAGATCCTTGTGTGGACATTGCTTGTGTGGATGTGGGAATCCATGTATTCCCTACTTTAGTAAGATTTTGAACAGGTAGACAATGACTGACAATAGCAGGATCAACAAGCAGATGATCAGAAAAAGCACAGACAAGTAGAAATGCAGCAGATGATGAACGATCAAGGCTGATCCTTACAAATATCAAGCCAATGAAAACCTCAGTCTTATAATACAAATATTTTCTAAGTGTTAAGGCAAAAAAAGTCTCTCGTCAAAAAAAACTCCTTCCCCTTTTTTTCTCCTATGTGTACACTACATGATGCATACACTGTGCAATGTACATCCCTGCTCATGCCAAGAATTATTATTATATTATTATTATACAGGATTTATATAGCGCCAACAGTTTGCACAGAACTTTACAAAATGCAGGTAAACATTACAGTTATGATACAATTTGGTACAAGAGGAAACAGAGGGCCCTGCTCATTAGAGCTTACAATCTAAGAGGTAGGGTTGAGTGATACACAGGTAATAGCTGTGGGGATGAGCTAATGGAGGAAATAAGAGGCAGTTTACTAGTTAGAAGCAGGATAGGCTTCTTTAAAGAGAAGTGTTTTCAGGGATTGTCTAAAGGTGGATAGATTAGGACATAACTGGACAGATTGGGGTAGGGCGTTACATAGGATGGGAGAAGCTCAGGAGAAGTCCTGGAGGTGAGCATGGGAAGAGGTAACAAGGGAACTATAGAGCTGAAGGTCTTGGGAGGATCAAAGACAGCTGTTTGGTTGATATTTTGAGACCAGATTGGTGATGTAGCTGCAGGCAGAGTTGTGGATGGCTTGGTAAGTTGTTAGTATTTTGAATTTTATTAATTGAGCGAGTGGAAGCCAGTGGAGGGAATGGCAGAGAGTGGTAGCAGACACTGAACAGTTGGTAAGGATGAGCCTGGCAGCAGCATACATGATGGACTGGAGGGGGATAACCTATGTAAAGGTAAGCCACTGAGGAGGGAGTTGCAGTAGTGGAGGCGAGAGATAACCAGGGAGTGAATTAGGAGCTTTGTGGCATCATGTCAGGGAGCGAGGAGCTAGACACACAAGGAGGTGCAATTAAAGGTAGGTTTATTTACACAGAAACAAGGCAAGAGTCTATGCAAGTCTGACAGCAACAGCAGATGACTTGGTAGGACAGAAGTTCTCCTGCCGAGGTCGTCTTCCAGGATAATCAAGTCGAGAACCAGCGGGAAACATAGCCAAAGTCGGGGTCAGTAGCCAGGAAGAATGGTCGCCAGAGCCGGGGTCAGAAGCCAGGAAGAATGGTCATCAGAGCCGGGCTCAGAAGCCAGGAAGAATGGTCACCAGAGCCGGGGTCAGAAGCCAGGAGGAGTCTTAGCCAAAGCCGAGTCGGTATCCAGGAGAACAAAGAGTTAACTAAACAGGAGCTTGCTGCCGTGCAACAGACAGGACACAAATGCAATGGACAGCTGCAAACAGCAGACTTAAATGTGATAAGCCTACCTCCTGGGAGGAGCCGCAGAGGGCTGAAAGCATGAAAGCATAAAGGATCCCACAATGCTTTGCAGACCAAAGATGGATGCCAGCACATGGAGCAGCACAAGCCCTGAGGAAAGGTAGGACCTTGATACATCATTGGTTAAAAGGGGGAATATTCTGGAGTAATTGCGGAGGGTGAGGTGGCATGACTTGGACAGGGATTGGATGTGGGCCTGAAAGGATAGTTTTGAATCCAGGGTTACACCTAGCACCTTGGCATGCAGTGATGGGTTGATAGTTGTGCTACAGATCCTGACCGAGAAATCAGGGGAAGAGGCATATGGGGGAGGAAATATTATTAGCTCAGTTTTGGATAGATTGAGTTTTAGGAAGTGGTGTGACATCCAGTCTGATATGTTTGTTAGTAAATCGGTGGTACTTGAGGAAACTGAAGGGGTGAGCTGAGGAGTAGAAACATAGATTTGTGTGTCATCAGCATAGGAATGGTGTTGGAAACCATGGGAAGCTATCAGCTGACCCAAGAAAAAAGTATAGATCAAGAATAGGAGAGGTCCAAGGACAGAATCATGAGGGACTCCTACGATAAGAGGAGTAGGAGAGAAGGAAGTAGAGTTGTAAGTGACACTGAAGGTGTGGTGAGATAGGTAAGATTCAAACCAATGGAGAGTACAGTAACAGAGGCCAAGTAAATACAGTTTTTTCAGGAGGAGGGGTTGGTCAACTGTGTCAAAGGCAGTGGAGAGGTCCAAGAGTAAGAGTACGGAATAGTGACCGTTGGTTTTATCTGTTAGTAAGTCGTTTGTGAGTTTTAGGAGAGCAGTTTCTGTGGAGTGTTGTGGGTGAAATCCAGACTGAAGGGGATTGAGAAGGTTATTCTCAATGAGGTGGCCGGTTGTAGACTAGACATTCAAGGAGTTTGGAGGCAAAGGGGAGTAAGGAGATGGGTCTTAAGTTGCTAAGATTGGTGAGGTCCAGTGAGGCCTTTTTAACCGCCTCCCGCCCGCCATATAGTAATATGACGGACGCAAGGTGGTTCTCTTGTTCTGGGAGGATGTCATATGACGTCCTCCCATTCTAACCGAGCATGCGCAGCTCCCAGAGCGCGCAGCGCTGCGATCAGCGGTGCGCTGTGTCCCTCGGACACAGCGGATCACCGATCCAAGGAAAGAGCCGAAGATGTTGGCTCGGTCATGTGATCAACTGTGTCCAATCACAGCTGATCACATGTAAACAGGGAAATGCCGGTTATCAGCATTTCTCTCCCCACGAGCTGTCACGCTCACAGCTCGTGAGGAGAGGAGAGCCGGTAATCGGCATTCCTCGGAGGGGACATGTACACAGATCATCAGAGCACTGATGATCAGTCTGTCCTGATAATCTGTGTAGCCCCAGCAGCGCCACCTATCAGTGTCCATCAGTGCCAGCTCTCAGTGCTAATCCATGCCACCTGCCAGTGCCCATCAGTGCCACATTTTAGTGCCAATCAGTGCTACATCAATGCTACATATCAGTGCCCATCTGAGCTGCCTTTCAGTGTCACCCATCAGTGCCAGTCAGTGCCACATATTAATGCCAGTCAGTGCCACCTATCAGTGCTGCCAATCAGTGCCACCTACCAGTGCCAGTCAGTGCCTCCTATCAGTGCCCGTCAGTGCCGCCTAACAGTGCCAGTCAGTGCCACCTAACAGTGCCAGTCAGTGCTGCCTATCAGTGCCATTCAGTGAGTGCTGCCTTTCAGTGCCCATCAGTGATGCCTGTCACTGCCCATCAGTGCCACCTACCAGTGCCTCCTCATCAGTGCCCATCAGTGCCACCTATCAGTGTCCATCAGTGCAGCCTATCAGTGCCCATCACTGCAGCCTCATTAGCGCACATCAGTGAAGGAGAAAAATCACTTATTTACAAAATTTTATTTAAAAAACTAAGTAAAAACTTTTTTTTGTCAAAATTTTCAGTGGTTTTTGGTTTGTTAAAGAAAAAATAAAAAAAACAGAGGTGATTAAATACCACCAAAATAAAGCTCTATCTGTCACAAAAAAATGATAAAAATGTCATATGGGTACAGAATTGCATGACTGCGCAATTGTCATTCAAAGTGCGACAGTGCTGAAAGCTGGAAATTGGCCTGGGCAGGAAGGGGGTATAAGTGCCCTGTAGGCTAGTGGTTAAGCATGGGGGAGACTAGCACATGTTTTAGAGAGTTGGAGAAGATGCCAGTAGAAAGGGAGAGATTGAAGATATGAGTTAAAGAGTGAAGGATAGAGCCAAAGGGTGACCATAGTATTTGTGAGGGAACAGGGTCCAGAGGACAGGTGGTTATGTGGGCTTTAGAAAAAAGTTTACCCAACTTCCTCTAAAGTAGCTGGGTTAAATAAGGGAAGTATTAATTGTGCAGGTGGACAAGGAGTGTAGGGCGAGGAAGATATCTGTACAGTGGAGATCTCGTCATGAATTGTGCCAATCTTATTTTTGGTTAGCGATCTCCTGGGCAGTGATAAAATAGGTCTGTTTGGCAGTGTGGAGACAGGAATTGTATTTTTGAAGGGCAGGTTTATATTGGTCAAAATCTTGCTGGATCTTAGTCTTATGCCATAAACAATCAAGAGCATGGCTATGTTTTTTTGAGGCATCTGGTATTGTCTGTTTGCCAGGGCTGTAGCGGTTGGGGTCTAATTCTGTGGGTAGTGAGGGGGGCTGATGTGTCTGGGGTGGATGACAGTGAACTGTTGTAGACAGAAGTAGCCAGGTTCAGGCAGGACAAGGCTGTAATTTTGCCATAGAGACCATCTGTTGCAGAAAAAAAGAAGAGAAGGGTTAAGATAGCAAAGGTTTCTACGGGTAACTGTTCGGTAGTTGGAGGACAAGGAGGAGGAAGCCAAGGAGAGAGTGAAGCTAATAAGGGAGTGATCAGAGAGAGGAAAAGGAAAGTTGGTGAGGTTGCAAGGAGTGCATAAGTAGGAGAATACAAGGTCAAGGCAGTTACTGTATCATAGAGTGAGTAGAAGCATGTGTCCATTGTTTTAGGTCAAAAGAAGTGGTTAGGCTAAGAAGTTTAGAAGTATCAGGAGTGTTAAGATTAACAGAGATGTTGAAGTCACCGAGAATGATTGTGGGATTTTCAGAAGAGAGAAAGTAAGGCAGCCAGGCAGAGAAGTCATCAAGGAAGCTTGATACTGGTCCTGGAAGCCGATAGATCACAGCAATTCTTAAAAAAAACTGGGGAGAATAGACGAATACAGTGAACTTCAAATGTGGAGAGGGACAGAGAAGCTTTCAGGGGATAGGAGGATTTCGACTCCACCTCCTTTTCTTCCTCTAGGCCTGGGAGAGTGAGTCCAGATGATACCACCATAGGAGAGGGCAGCAGGAGAGGGAAAGTCAGATTCATGAAGCCAGGGTTCTTTAATTGCAAGTAGGTTAAAGGAATTTGTGGTAAAAAGGTCATGGACAGTGGTGAGTTTGTTACAGACAGAGTGAACATTCCAAAGGACACAGGTGAAGGGGAAGCTGGCTCTAGGAATGGTAACCAGATTGTGTGGATTGCGGCTGCCGTTAGAGGATAGGGGGTGCCGGGTGTGTTGGTCAAAGAAAAAAGATGGCAGCCCAGAATTTGGGGAAATGTCTCCAGATGTTAGGAGAAGCAGAAGGGTGAGAGAGGTAATATGAGAGTATGACTTATATGGAGGGATAGGTCCCAGTGTCCTGGAGGTTTTATTAGTATGTGGGTTCAGAATTAGTAGGAATTGATGAGTGCAGTAATAAGGTGAAGACAGGAGTGAGGGTGATACAGCACCTTGAAAAAGTATTCATACTCCTAGAAATTTTCCACATTTTGTCATGTTACAACCAAAAACGTAAATGTATTTTATTGGGAATTTACGTGGCACATAATTGTGAAGTGTAATGAAAATGATAAACAGTTTTCAAATTTTTTTACAAATAAAAATCTGAAAGGGGTATGAATACTTTTTCAAGACACTGTATATATAAGCTGTTGGGTTAAGAAGAGGAGTTAAGGAAGACAGTTTGAAGAGAGAGGATACTACTGTGAGAATGAGGAGTAGGGAGTCATGTTACAAAGTGGTGAGATGAAGAAGCAGACTGGGTAAGAGATGAAAGAGCTGGATGGGGAAACAGGTCACCTGTAGTCTGGTTACTATTTGACCTTGTCTGCTGTGCTTTCTTGCTTTGTGCTTTCGTTGAAGTGCAGAGCTGAAGTGCAATGCTCAATACTTAATCCAAGATGAATACTACTTCATGATGATAGTTGTCAGTGCTACCCCTGGCTGTGCCTCCCCTAAGGAAGACCTAAATTTATACTGAGGTGGGTGGGGGTATTGCCAATTAATCAATTAGGAATGCATAGGAGGGACACATGGCTAGCATGGCAAACTTCTCACACCAAAGGAGGACTACAAAAGACAACAAGAGAGCAGGAGGGCAGAGTTGTAAAGATTAGGATCAGCTCATAAATTTGGGTTAGACAATAAGAGCAAAATAAACATCACAGTAATATGGACAGAGTTAAAGATTTTGGAAGCAGCCAAAATTACCAGTAAGAACATTGATAGCTGTGAATCAGCTTCAGTTAGAGGTGGATTTTGAAAGCAATATAGATTACCATATAGCACAGCAGGGTCAATTAACAGTCATACACAGCATGGGAGATATTGCTCACAGACATTTAACATATAGCACAGCAGGGTCAATTAGTATTAGAACTGAGGATGGGGACCACATTACATAATTGGTAGAAGTGCAGTGGCCAAAAATGAGTGCTGCAGAACCAAGAAAAAGCAGTGGCAGAGATAGTGGCAGTTTTGTATGAAGCAGCAACAGGATCCTGAACCTGTCATTGTAGGAAAGGAGGACAGTAGGATGTAAGTGTGCCATAAAGTTTGAGCCAACCCATTTCAACATTTTTTTTAAAGGTGTTTATTTAGTTTGTTTTCATAAACCATTTACAATAAGCAAAACGAAAAAAACAACAGGAGCCCCAAACTGAGAACATTAGAGTAAAGGTTACATAAAAAAGGGGAAAAAGCAGTAAACAGGGTATTGCCAGGGGCTACCTTGAGCCCACCTAAAAAAACAGTGACAGTTACATATAGAAACATTTCATAGTGAATAGATAACCAAAACCAAACAAACACACTCGTAGATTGTCACCTACTCTCCTCTCCTTTAGGCGCACCCTGAAAACCCATCTCTTCAGGGAAGCCTACCCCGTCCCCTGCTAACTTGCTGACCTCCTCCACTCTTCCTACCACTCCATCCCCCACAGCTATCTCCTCCTGTGCCACCATCCCCTCCCTCCTAGATTGTAAGCTTGAAAGAGCAGGGCCCTCGATCCCCTCATGTTTTGCATTGTATTGGTATTGTTCTGTCACATGTTCTGTCCCCCTTTGTAATGTACAGCGCTGAGCGAACTATTGGCGCTTTATAAATACTGAATAATAATAATAATAATAATAATAGATAACCAAACAAAACCAAACACACATGCGCACCTATTCCTCATAGACAACAGGAGAGATAAAAAGCCCATAGCCGCCCCAACAGTAGCGCCAAAAAACCTTTCTCAAGTTGTAGAACCCTGCGACAGTGACTACGATAGTGGAATATCCCCCAAAAAGAGTCTGATATGTCCAGCCAGAGTTGCCATATTTTTGGAAACTTTTTAGGGCAAGTCCGAACTTTGTAGATTATCTTATATTTAGGCAGATCACGATTAACCATACAATAGAATCTCTGTATAGAGGGCGGATTGGCACTTTTCCAATTTAACCATTTCAATACCGGGCACTTTTACCCCCTTCCTGCCCAGGCCATTTTTCAGGTTTCAGCATTCTCACACTTTGAATGACAATTGCGCGGTCATACAACATTGTACCCAAACTAAAATTTTATCATTTTCTTCACACAACTAGAGCTTTCTTTTGGTGGTGTTTAGTCACCGCTGGGATTTTTATTTTTTGCTAAATTACCAAAAAAAGACCGAAAACTTTGAAAAAAAACATGTTTTTCTTTGTGTCTGTTATAAAAGTTTGCAAATAAATAATTGTTCTTCATAAATTTAGGCCGAGATGTATTCTGCTACATGTCTTTGGTGAAAATAACCCAAATCAGGATATATTATTTAGTTTGTAGGAAAGTTATAGAGTTCACAAACTATGGTATCAATCCTGAAGTACTGACAGCCAATCTAATTTCTTGAGGTCCAAGAAGGTCAGAACAGTACAGATATCCCCCAAATGACCACTTTTTGCAAAGTAGACAGTCTGACGTACTTCATAAGAGGCATGGCGAGTTTTTTGAAGTTTTTTTTTTTGTCATAATTTTTCGGAAAATTAAAAAAATGATTTTCACAATTTTTTTTTTTACATACTGTCACCAGTGCAGTACAGTGTCATCGTCTAACTGGCATGGCGGTGATCAGGGAACCAGACTGGTGACAGTATGAAAAAAAAAATATATAATTTCTTTTTAATTTTTTTTATTATTTTTACTTTATTACATTTTTTTCTTTTTTTAAGATTTTTTTTTATATTTCACTATGACCAAAGTAGTACAATGTTACCATAGTAACATTGTACTACTTTGGAGAAGTGTTCAGTATTTTTTTTTTTACACAATTTGCTTATAGCAAAGAATTACTTTGCTATAAGCAAGCATTTACCTGAATGACATCA